CCTATATGTATGCATATATACATGATACATGCATATACAGATAGATAGATATCAATCACCTACCTACCTACCTACCTACCTACCTACCTACCTACCTACCTACCTACCTACCTACCTACCTACCTGTCTATCTGTCTATCTGTCGATCTGTCTATCTGTCGATCTGTCTATCTGTCGATCTGTCGGTCTATCGATCTATCTATCTATCTATCTATCTATCTATCTGTCTACCTATGTGTCTATCTATCAGTCTATCTTTCTGCCTACCCGTCTATCTATATACATATGTATATGGATATATATATATAGACATATCTATACACATACACATACAGTTACAGTATCATGTGCGAGCGTGCATATGCGGATGCATGTATACAGAATTATGCATAGACACCTAGAGACATACACCTGCCTTTCTACCTACCTACGTACTTACACAAATACCTACATACCCTAGCCCTATATAAACCCTAAGCCCTAAAGCCTAAACCCTATAAACCCTATAAACCCTGAAGCCCAAAGCCCAAAGCCAAAGCCTGCCCCGTCAGGTCCCGAAGCTCGTGGCCATGGCCGAGGTGGCCTCTTGGCCACTCTTTGGCCAGCTTTGCCAGGACGCTTGAGCTGTAGGGTTTAGGGCTAAGGGTTCAGGGTTGAGGGTTCAGGGTTGAGGGTTCAGGGTTTGGGGTTTAGGGTTTCGGAGGCCATGGGCTCCTGTGGGGAACCTGCCGCCACAGGCGGCTCTGTGGCAGTAAACGGCAGGAGCACGGCTCTTGTGCACCAGGCAACACCGCCGCGACAAGTGGCCGGAGCCAGTTTTGGTTCGACGTTCTTTTCGAGCCAAAAAGCAGCAGTTGCATGCCAGACAAGTAAACAGATGCCTGTTCATGTGCATCGCACTGTGTTGCTGCTGTGCTTTGTTGCTTTGCGCAATCTTCTGGGGAACGCGCGACGCGCAATTGGCAGCAATAAGACAGCGAGCAGCAAAGAAAAGGGCAGCCGCCTCCCATCGGACAACTTGTGGCAAAAGCGTTAAATGGAAATTTCGCTTTTAGCACTGCCTCGTGTCCGTTCCACAGCTCGTTGGCGTGATGTGCTTTTGCTCGCCCTGATCTTCCCGCGGCATTGTCGGAGCACGCTGCAGGGACACATCGCTTGGTGCTAAACATCATATACTATATTATAATTATGATAAGGCCAGCCCCCAAAATAGTATAGGTAATTGTTAAGGCCCCTATATCCTGCACTCGTGCAACGAATCTTGGCACAGCGGAAAAGGCGGCTTCTGGGAGCACCTGACCAAAAGCAATAGAAGCCCTTTTCATCTCCAGATGTTTTGGGAAAGGATCATGCATGAAAGGCTCGCGATGGCTCTGTTGAAGCATGCAAGAAATTGAAAGCCTGACTTTTAGCCGGCAATGCTTCACTCAGCCTTTGAGCTTCGTGCAATTGACTTTGATATGAGAGACAGCTCAGCAAACTCCTGCTGATGTCACCTCGTTACATGCCCTGCCAGTCTGTACTTCTTACATAGTTGATGATTCAATTATTCTTTATACCATTGCTCACAGTCCTCCGCATGATCCTAGCTACCCAGCATCTTCGCAGACACATGCCCTTTCCGTCCTGTACTGCCTCAAGGCATGCCCTCGAACCCCAAAGCCTGAAACCCTAATGCCGTTCTTATATTTGAAGGAGTTGGAGATGATCTGGGTAGACCGCTCCAACCCCGAGTCGCGACGTGCGGCCAAGGTGGGTGTGCGCGCGCGTGTGTGTATACTCGTGTACTACAGGTTGTATGTAAAGATATATTATGTGTGTCTGTATTGTTCGATTGTCTGCTAATTTTGCAGATGGTGCGTTTTCTCGGTATGTGGATGGTATGTATTTTTGCATGCAGGTATGCAAGTAAACATGTATGAATGTATGCATGTATGTATGCATACCTGCTTACATACATGCATGCATACATACATTGTTACATACAGCATGCCTTCAATGTATAGAAGTAACCAAGAAACAAAGTAAGTATGTAGATAAGCAAATATGAATGTTCCGATTACCTCTGTGTATATAAAGATAAGTATAACTAACTAAATAAATAAATATATATATATATATATACATATATATACTTATACAATATGATATGATATATGTATAGTGCATCTTCGTAGGAACGTATATGTCCTGGGGATGGGGCTAAACCGTCGGAGCACCTAAGCTGCAGAGAAGTACCGAATGAGGTCATTTGGTGTTCTTCATCCACCTCATGTCAAGAATCAAGAGAGGTACTGCATTCTCCGCAAAGCTTGTTTGGCTGATACCCTACACAATGTTTGTTCTGGTATATGTATGTACGTGTATATAATATAAGTATATGTGTTGCGGAAATTATAGACCCTCAAAGCCGTCCTGCACATAGTACACAGTGAACATCCAGACGATGTATTCAAGCGGTATTTACGTATGTGTGCATGCGCATGTACGCACACAAGTAGATAGATCGGCGCGTGTATGTGTGTGTGTGTGTGTGTGTGTGCGTGCGTGTGTCTGCGTGTGTGTCTGCGTGTGTGTGTGTGTGTGTGTGTGTGTGTGTGGTTGTATGCGTATGGGGACATGTCAGTATGTGCTGGTTGTGTGTCCGTGCATGCGCAATGTCGCAACATATGAAGCCAGATTGCAAAGGATTCTCTCGATGATGGAGGTAGGACTTGTTGGCGGGTTACTACATGGCTTGTGTCTCGATGTGTGTACGGCAGTATGTATGTATGTCTGTCTGTATGTATGTATGCATGTGTGTACGTATATATATATATATATATATATACATATATATATATACATATACGCGTCCACATCATGCATACATACATATATCTATATATACCTGTGTATGTTCAAGGTAGGTAGAAAGATAGACAAATAGACTGGTAGACAGACAGTTAGATAGATGCACAGATAAATACGTAGATCGACAAATAGTTAGACAGATATATCATCAGATAGGTAGGCAGATGGGGCGGACATGGACAGATAATGGATAGATAGACAGGAAGCTAGATGCCGATTGTATTTTCTAAGCATAATAATCCCTTCAGTTTGCCATACACACAGAATTACATGCATTCCCTAATTCAAACATTCATGCAGCTGTACACACACGCCCACACATGCAAGCATAAACCCACATCGCGAGAGAATCTTTGAAGACGAAGGCTTGCATTGGGCTCCAGAAAAGGAATTTTCCCAGTGCGGCCTGCAGCCAGAAGAGATGCTTGTCTCTGTTCCCCCGAACTGGAAGAGGGCCTTGATCGTGGTGCCGTTCCAGAGCTTTTTGGACGTGCTGTGGCATCTCGGTTTTATTGTAAGCACTCGTTTGCTTGTTCAGGTGCTCTCCCCAATCGTCTGGTGAAGGATGTTCGGAGCAAGGTTTCATGGGTTTAGGGTTTAGAGTTTGGGGTTTAGGGCAGGCCAGAGCATAATCGAGTGCGTGAGCAAGATTTTGGTGTGCACTGGTGAGGTACGGAACCTGGTATTACTTCAATGACTCTGGCGTCTATCCGCCAGAGTACTGGGACAGGTTTGACCCATGGCTTGCCGTGTTTGCCTGGGTTCCTATGGGCTTGGCTGTCAGCACCTCACATGATCTTGTAATATTTCCCCCACCACTTCACTGCTCTTTAAATACAAAACAAGAAGATCCAAAGAGTAGTCAAATCCGGGGCTTAGCAATTCGCGTGCTTCAGAGAGAGAGAGAGAGAGAGAGAGGCAACTCAGACTCAGGCATGGGGGAGCCCAAAAATCTTCGGGAAGCTATTGGTTTCGGTGCATGGATTGGCTTCATCACCTTTGCCATCTATGCCGGTGTCGAGCTGACTTTCGATCCAGTTTGGCGTGCTGCATGGTGGTACTCCGTGGTGGATACTACTTGGGGCATCTGCGTCTCCGCGGTCTCATGTACCTTCGGATACTGGAGCATGCAGAAATGCTGCGGAACACAACCCCAACAAGGTTATTTAGATCTCGACAAGGCCTGATAGCCACAGAGAAGGCAGGCACTGACTTGTACAGGACTGACATTCCGATCTTTCCCTCGCATGAGCTCGGGGTTAGGATGAAGGCCCCATGTGGCACTGCGATGCTTGGGCGGGCCAGCCTTTTAAGCTGTAGTGTGTGTGTGTGTGTGCGTCCTGTCATACCATGTGTAGGATGCTGACAAAGGATGAAATGATTGAAGTCCTCTCCTCGAAAATTGCTCGAGCCTCACGGCTCATCTCCAACATCTTCCCTCCTTGCTGCACAGACCTTGTAAGTATCGTCCTAAACCCTAAAACCCTAAACCCTAAACCCCGTCCCTCACGGATATCGATATCCGAGGCCTCGTAGATGCTCGCTGCGGCTCTTGATTCCTAGGCTCCGAAAGTTCAATCTCCAAAAGAATGTAGAGGCCTGAATCGCTAGAACCGGGTTAGGAGCACAGCATAGCACAGAATATCATAAGGAAGTCTCTGGAATAATCTTGACTCGGGTGTTGAAGAGCGGCTTCAGGCCCGCAGAAGCCACCGCAGAGCAAACCCCAAGATCCGAAAGTGTGGTATCCCCAAACCTGCACAGTTCAGGGTTCAGGGGTCAGAGTTTAGGGTGTAGGGGTTAGGGTTTAGGGCTTGGGGTTCAGGGTTTAGGTTTTAGGGTTTAGGGTCAGGGTTTAGGGATTAGGGTTTAGGGCTTTGGGTTCAGGGTTTAGGGGTCAGGGTTTAGGGTTCAGAGAAATCCCGCAACCCTAAATTTCAAACCTCTCTCAGCCATCCTAAAACCAGTCTGAAATACAAGTGGGGCTCCGGTAAGTGCAGTAGTGAAGAAGCCTGAATAATTTCCAATAGTCTTCTCTAGGGTTCGTATTCCGGATACTATAGGGGCCTTACTAATTACCTATTATTTTTGGGGTTCCTTATTCTAATTATGGTACAGTGGGCCCCAGAACCCTATTTTTATTGACCCCTATATTATGGTAACTATAGTTTGGGATACTTGAAAAGCCTGTTACAATCATTACGGCTCCTACATTCGATTGTGCAGGAGGCCATCGCGAACCATGCCACAGAGTGGCAAAGAGGAGAACGACCTCTGCCCCCGGTCTAACATCTTAGGACGTAGGCTTTTCGAGGCTGTGGAGTCTTTGGGGCGGGGGTCTTGGGTCGAGGGTTGATGGGTTTACGGTTCTTGGAGTTTGGGCGGTGGGCGGTGGTTTTAGGTTCAGGGTTGCAGGGCCATTGTAGGGTCCGGCTCCATGGTCCTTGGAGTCCTTGCAATGGTGAACATAGAAGGCGCGCCATTGGTACTCATGGTGCAGCTGGTATCACGCACGAATGACTCATACGACGACAACGAGAATAACCCTTGCAGTAGCATCAATGTCTGCTATGAATCGTGGCCTGCATTGGCATCCCTTGCAGTACCCTTGTAGTATCCGAAAAGTTTTCGTGGTCGAATTGGAACGGCGCAAAAACCCACAGCGAAAGGCCTAAAGCCCTAAACCCTAAACAGCCCTGAAGCCTGAAATTCCCCAGACTCTAAGACCCTGAGTGTACCCAGGCTGATCTGGCCGGAAGGCACGACATCCAACGGCCAGGGAATCAAAGACTTCAAGCATGGCCCCTCATCTCCGACCGGCTCGCTCTTTCTCTCTCTCTCTCTCTGAACTAGCTGGATAGATAGGTAAGTAGATAGATAGATAGGTAGATAGATATATATATATATATAAATATAAATATGCATATATATATATATATATGTATACATATATATATATATATATACAGATATATGTATATGTATACATTTGACATATATATATATATATGTATCCGAAAGGCTCGGGCTTCGGGATTCTTGGACCTTGGTCTGGGGATTCGGGGGGGGTTTTTGGCCTTGGGGTTTGTACTTCACCGGGCATGAACATGGGTCCCGGAAGGGGCCAAGAAACCTGTGCAACGAGTGTGTGGTGCTGAATTATTGTCATTGCAGTCTTCCACTCGCCCAACGAATTCGGAAACTGGATGTGCTTCGGATCGCGCGCAGGTAGGTCTCGCGGATTTCAACCCGTCAACCCGGTGGCGGCTAGAACGAACGAATGGCCCCAACTCTGCAACTTGCGCCCTGTTAAGTCATTATGGAACAGGAAGCGTCATAGCGGCATATATACTACAATAGCAAGAGTTGTAGTGATCCGAAGGCAATATACACTTTAATACGCACTCAACCCTGAGACCTAAACCGCCACAGTTTCTTTAGGTGCCTTCTTGCCCGGGGTGCCCGTGCGGCCCGTGTTGATCAAGTACACAGGCACACGGGCAAAGGTTTGTGGTCGTCCAGTGCGGCCGTCCGTGGACCCATATGCATCGGATCCGATACTAGTTATCATAACAGTAGTAATAATCGTAATACTAGCAAGGTTAAGGCTCACTTAAGAAGAATAATAGTAATAACAGTAACAATAATCATAACAATCACAATAACGATTAGCAAGAATAACCATTGGGGTCTCAGGTCGCAGGAGTTCCTCTCTTGAGTCAGCGGCTGAAGCATGCAGTCCTCAGCTTCAGATGTCCGATTCCCTCACATTGAACTCCGAAACTCTTGAGCCCTCTCGTTCCTAAACCCTTAAACCCTAAATCCCTAAACCCTAAACCCTAAACCCCTAAACCCTAAACCCTAAGCCGGTACCCACGCACTTCATCTTCGGGTGCATGCCTTAATGATTTTCATAGGGTGTTGGGGGATGCTACACCACAGTTATAATAAGGAACCCCTCAAGTAGTATAGGTAACGATGTAGGACCCTACATTAACCTAAAGCCCTCTGGCCTGTGAGCTTGAGATTTGCAACTTTGGAAGAGCTCGTTTAAGCCTGCATGTCACAAGACCGATGGGTTTAGGGTTTAGGGTTCAGGGATGTTTGATGCCTGCGAGAACCATGTGCTCAGTCTGCACGTGCTTCACGTGGGAAATGCTGCACAGAAAGAATCAGCATCACTTTGCCTAGACCTCAACATCTCAGTAGGATCCTCACCTATCACAGCCCTCGATACCATCAGCCTTCCGTGGTTACTATGATTAGTTTTCCAGTATTATTACTATTATGTCTTTTGTTTTCATCAGTATTGTTGCTACCTTCAACCGGTGTCACGTTGAGCCTCTGCAGGTGACTGGGATCCTTCCAACGTCAGCTTCCGAGATGCGAAGGCTCCAATCCCCTCCCCCCTCTCCTCACCCCCCCTCTCCCCACCCCGCCTCTGCCCTGGAGCCTCAACCCTAAACCCTAAACCCCCTCTCGCAAGCTTTCGGGCTACCCCAAACCCGAACCGCTAAACCCTAGGATGCGAGAAGCCCAGAGCTCGTGTTTGAGGTTAAGATAATATAGGCGCCAGAAAAATTACCGACACTACTCTGGGGGGGGGGGGTTCCCTATTGTAATTATACTATAGAGGAGCCCAAAACCCTATTCTAATCATTAAGGCCCCTACATTAAGCCTAGTTATACTATAGAGGAGCCCAAAGCTCTATTCTAACCATGAAGGCCCCTATATTAAGCCTAGTTATACTATAGAGGAGCCCAAAGCTCTATTCTAACCATGAAGGCCCCTCCATTAAGCCTAGTTATACTATAGAGGAGCCCAAAACCCTATTCTAACCATGAAGGCCCCTACATTAAGCCTAGCCACAGAAGGACGGCCCAGGCCTGAGAACCTTCATCCTCTCATCCGGAGAAGCCCCTCGCCTCTCACCAATCCTCAAGTCCGGCTGTCCCGAGATAACATAATAACAATGATTTTAGTAAGAAGAGTAATAACAACCACAATACTAATAATACTAATACCAATAAAAAATGGTAATAGTAATAATGGTAATAATAGTGATAACCATGAAAACAATAATCATAGTCATGATCATAATTGCAATATCAATACCTAGTAGTAATATTCAGACCCCTGCCTTTCCCTCATGAAAGAGTCGATGCTTGCCCGTTGGTACTGGGTTTGCCCAAAGTCTCCTGGCTTCTCCAAGTCGTAGAACCCTGAAGCCCTTGCCCTAAACACTAAGCCCTGAAATCTAACCCCTAAACCCTAAACCCTAAACCCTAAACCCTAAACCCTAACCCTAAACCCTAAACCCTAAACACTAAGCCCTGAACTCTAAAGCCTGAAACCCTGAGCCCCAGCAGCCATCAGGGCGAGATGAAGCCAGCGGAGGCTTATGGCGATCGCCAGTGGGTCGAGCAGCTGCTTGCGTCAAATGGGGGGTTTCCAAAAATGGGGGACCCTAATACTAATATAGTACCCTAAATAATAGGATCCTTATTATAAGGACCCCAAAATAAGGTACCCCCTATTTTTGGAAAGTCCCAAATAGTGTTTAGGGTTCAGGGTTAGCGTGGTAGCACTGCCAGTCTAGTGCTGTTGTCATGGGATTGACAAGTGTTACTGTTGCTGAGGATTTCTGCTTGCTCTTCTTGTAGCGATGGCCGCGATTTTTTTTGTGGCCTCGTGGTAAGAGCAGGAGCCAAGCTGTTGGCATTGATTGGTAGTCGTCGAAAACTAGAGTTTGTAAGCATGTGCGGCTCATCAGTCTTACTGTGGTGTTGGTTCTTCCGCTTTCTTATGGATCTTGAACTTGCCATGGCTGACTCCACAGGACAGGCCGAAACCTTCATCCATAAAGCACGATCCCCAATTCCGAATACCCCTCTACACGAGCCCTCTCATTTGGCACATCCTCGGGTTTGACCAACAGCTGAATGTCGAGGTTTTTGGGTCACATGCTGCACAGCTGCACAGCGCCTTGCCTTCACAAGCGAGTACTTTGAACTGCAGGGCTGCATTGAGCTAGAAGCCAGCCTCAGCTACAAGCCGTAATACGGGGGCCTTAATGATTACCTATGCTATTTGGGGGGGTTTCCATAATGTTTAATACGATATGCCCCAAAACCCTTTTCCAATTATTCAGGCTCCTACTTTAACGCCCTATACCCTAAGCCCTGAAGATGGGAGCGCAGATTCTGGGCGAGGGCTCACGCTTCGGGTCTGGGGATTCTGTGGGCGAGGGGCCCAGCATTTGCCTTGCTAGCTATGCTGATTAGTGTTTGGGCTTAGGGTTTTGGGTTTAGGGTTTAGGGTTTTCGGTCCTGCTTTTGCTTCTTCTCATGACGGATCTTGCTACTGGTGACTAGTGCTGAGCCAGATATCATTATGCATGTACTCTTATCAATCATGTGCCATTTGTTGCTCGTCCCACTACCAGAGTTAGTTCGGCACCTCGGCCCTTGCCCTTGTGCAGCTCTCAGCGCCCACCCAAGGTGCTCATCTGCAAGCCTTACACCCCGAGCGAGGAAGAGAAAGCAAGCCCAGAGCTGTTCAAGGCTGGACGGAAAGTGAGACACGTTTAGGTTTAGGGATAACGCAAGACCCCTGATTGATGAAGTCCCTGTCTGTAAGGGCAGTGGTATTAGGATCCCTGCTGTTGTAATCAGCAAGGGAAGGGGATGCACTTACCCGGAGTCTGCATCAAGAGAGCTCTCACGGCTGCATGTAGAAAGGTGCAGATTATGTCACGGTGTCTGGTCATGCATATCAGTGCAGCGGACTTTCAAAGGAGTTGTACATACAGACATATATATATATATATATATTTATACACCTACAAAAATCGCGCTGCCGCCAGTGTCCTGCGTGAGACTCGTGTTCCCGCACAACGCGGCATTTCTGATGTCCCGATTGTCTTTCGCCACCGCGTGGGGTGCATTCTGCTTTCGTAGGGTGGTCTTGAGATCCTGGGAGGCTCAGGGCCGCCCCTGGAATGCTTCTTGCGTATGCAGGGTTTCGATTGCTAGGTGTTGTTGCATTGTTTGGGGTCTGTGTTGACATTACCGTATATGTATGTACGTATGTAGGTAGGTAGGTAGGTAGGTAGGTAGGTAGGTAGGTAGGTATGTGTGGATGTATGCCTGCATAAACTTACGCATGTGCCAGTTCACATTGACATGCACACTGCCGAGTGACGAGGTTACGTTTACAACAGCAGAAGCAATGAGGGGAAAGAGGCTGAACAAGCATGCTTGTATCCTCGTTGTCGAAATCATCGGGTGCGTCTGTTCGGTTGGAGTCGGAAAGGCCAAACACATACACCGTCTGTCTCTTTCTTTCTCTGTGTACACTTACCCATCTAGAAGTGTGTCATGCTTCAGACACTCAGGCGTAGAATGCAGGCGTTTTTTTAAGAGCTGGGCCCTCAACTGAGTAAATTGAGTGCTTGTAGGCGTTGACTCTATGTTTGTGATGGGTTGTGTTGGGATCGCCGTGCAGAACAGTCTATAAAATACCATAGGCCTTCGGCCATAGGGTTGATTTAGCTGCAAGTTTGCTTCTTTCGCGATCTCCAGGCAAATGTGCACAAGCTCATGTCAGAGTGCCGTGCCAGCAAATTGAAATCGGAGTCGAAGGGCGGCCTGCCACCTTGGTATATGCCTGTATTGGTCTTAAGATAGGCTCGGTGTGTCAGGTAGTGGAAGCTCTTGTGATCATTCCCTCCCTTGCTTGCTTGAGTAGTACGTGCATGCGAATATGGAGCTATTGCATAGAGACAGGACCAACAACTTCCGCCAAGACAGGGGGTCTTCAGGAGCAATTCCAAGAGCGCTCACCTCGTACTGGCAAAGTAAGAACTAGCGGAAAAAGGCTTTGATGAGCTCGGCAAGATCCGTTAATCATTGCCAGGACCATGCCTACTCGCCCTGTTCGTAGCTGTACAGTTGCCACGGCCACCACAACTACCACTACTACCACTACTGCAACTGCTACACCCACTGCTGCTCTACTACCGCTGCTACCACTGCTACAAGTACTACCACTACTGCCATTACTAGTGTACTACTACCACGACGACGACTATGATCATTATGCCTAGTAGTAGTACTGCTATGACCACCACCTCCGCTACGATCACCACCACTACTATCATCACAGCAATAGCACTTATGTCATACATGCCACTGGCTGCCTGTGACTGCTACTTTTATCATTGCCATTGGGCGAAGTCAGTTTCTGACGACGTGTAGCAGTCACTATTCTCCTTTCGATGGCATTGTGGCAGTGTCAGAACTCGCAACAACCACAACGCACTCTTTCGAAAAGTGCTATTCCTTGGCAAACTTATGATTTCAACGACAACTAAGCCCAAAAACCTAACACCTTCGGCCCACTGAACTTAAACCACCAAAACCGAACATACACCCCAAAACCCTAAACCCGAAGCAGAAACCCTAAAGCCTAAACCGAGAATCCAGAGTTGCACTGGGATCCGAGGAGGCTCAATGAGCTGAACGACTACACGGAGCGCCAAAGGGAAAGCAAGGCCAATCCCAAGCTGGGATACGGTTTAGGGTTTAGGGTTTAGGGTTCAGGGTTTAGGGTTTAGGGTTTAGGGTTTAGGGTTTAGGGAGGGGGGGGCCTTTAGGGTTTAGGGTTCAGGGTTGCAATGGAGCCTGGAATGTCGGGGTCCAGGGGTTAAGGAGGTAGTAGCGTTCGTGTACAGCCTGCATCTTAAGCCGAAGCCCTAAACTTTTGAGTTGAAGTTCAATAAGGCTTTATCTCTCAATTCTCCCACGTGCAGCAGGCACGGAGTTCCAAGTCTCGAATCATCGATCCCGCCCAAAGACCGCCAGTTACCGTATAGTTCCTTTACATAGCTCAACCGTAGTAGTTAGTAGGACCCCAAACAGCATTCTAGTAACCCAGGAACCGTATGCATCACGTCCTTCTGATGTTCGATCTTCTTCCGTCTCGGAGCTGTGCTTGCCCCTAAGCCCCTCAACCCCAAACCCCAAGTCCCCCAAACCCCTAAACCCCTAGGCGTTTAAATTCTTAAACCCTAAAAATTGGGCCGCTACCACTGCCAGGGCGCCGGCATCCCCAAGGGATTGAAGCAAGTTGGCGGCGCTCTGTTCGGCAACGCCTCTCTTCTTCAATTCATGTGGTGGGTCTAGCAGAGAAGTAGTTGCATTAGTAGCAGCAGCAGCAGCAGCAGGAGTAGAAGAAGGATAAGGAGTAGGAGTAGGAGGAATAGGCGGAGTAAGAGAAGTAGTAGACAGTAGGAGTAGTAGTAGTAGTAGTAGTAGTAGTAGTAGTAGTAGGAGAGTAGTAGTAGTAGTAGTAGTAGTAGTAGTAGTAGTAGTAGTAGTTAGCGCTAGCAGTAGCAGTAGCAGTAG